ACTTCCCGCCTCCCAGCACCTGATGGGGCCCAGCCCTAGCCAGAGGCTGTGGCTACAGAGCCCTGCCAGCCCAGCCTTGACCAGTAGCGCTGCCCCTAACCCCAGCACCCCCTAACCTCTGTTATCCTCCCCGGCTGCTGGAGAAGAGGATGCTGGTCTGTGGGGTAGTGTCTCTCCCCTTCTCATCCTTTCTCCACTGGACCTTTCCTTTGTCCCACAGCACCTCCTGTAAGGTGGCTGGGTCTGTGCTCCACTCTAGTAGCTGTTTCGATTAAGAGGGGGGCAGCCCAGTCCCTGGGGTTCAGGCGGCCTGAGGTAACAGATAACGGTGGCTGAAGGGAGGAAGGGCCTTGGGATAGGTGGTTTGGAGCAGGGAGGGTCACCAGGGACCTCAGGACTCCTGGGTTCTATCCCTGGCTCTGGGAGGGGGATAGTGGGTTAGAGTAAGGGGGTCTCAGAGTCAGGACGCCTGGATTCTATCCCTGGCTCTGGGAGGGGATTGGAGGCTGGTGGGTTATAGCAATGGGAGCTGGGAATCAGGACTGTCTGGAATGGGATCACAGCCATGTCTCCCTTATGACACCCCCTTTCTGTCCTATTGCAGAAGGGGGACCCAACCCTGATCTCAATACCAACCTGGCCAACATCATTGAGCAGTGCCGGAGCAAGAGCATGCCCAAAGCATCCATTGAGGTGGCCATCAAGGGAGGGGTACGTAGCCGGGTCCTGCCAGCTCAGCTCAGGGGGCAGAGGGGCTTATAGGCTGCAGCCTTGCTGCATTCTCTGGGCCAGGCCAGGCTATGCAGAGGGGCATTGGGAGCCTTGAACGAGGCTGGGCTTGTGGCTACGGTGCTGGGCTGGGCTACAGGACTTGTGGTTTCTATTCCTAGCTCTGCCACTTGCTCCCTCTGTGACCTTGGGCAAATCACTTGGGTCATAGGGAATTGCCAGACTGGATCAGAGCAGAGGTGTGTCCACTCCAGTGTCCTGTTTCCAGCACCAGAGGCTGCAGAGGCAGGTGTAAGAATCCCTCAGTAGCAGATGTGGGGATAATCAGCCTGCGTTAGGTCTCAGATTGGTCTGTAATAGTTACAGTCAGCTCAAGCCCCGAAGCAGGAGGTTTAATATCCCTGCCAGAAGTTGTTTGCTAAGTTCTTGCCCCCTGTGACATCCTGTGGCAGTGAGTTCCACAGGATAATCACCCACTGTGTGAAAAAGTATTTTCTATGATCAGCTTTGAATTTCCCACCTTTTATTTCACTGAACATTCTCTAGTCCTTGTGTTACAAGTAGAGATGATTGGGAAACAGAATGTCCATCCCACAGGAGATTCTGACACTTCTAAATTTGTTTTTATGCTGAATCGGATTAGAAAATTTAGATTTTAAAATGTTTAGTGGAAAGAAAATTCAGACAATACAATTCAGACACACTGAATTATTTCCTTTCACTAATGCCATAACCTTGTAATTTAATAGAAAATATTAAACCCACATTGAAATTAATATAATAAAATGTAAAATTGGAATGAACTGGAACAATACAGTCAAAACGAAGTGTTACCTTAGTAAAACACATTTTTTCTATTCTTGAACTGAGAAAATTGAAGTGATTCATTTTCACATCAAAATTCATTGAAATTGACATGCTCTTGTGAAATGTTTCGATTCTAACAAAACTACCTTTTCCAATGGAAAACTGTTTTGCTGCCAGTGTTTTGACCATCTGTGGTTATAGGATGGGGAGAGCAGATGCTCTCAATCTCCGTTCTCTGTCCAGCCCTCTGTTAGTTCAAGAGCATCCCTGACTTCAAGCTGCCCCAACTTGGGATTGTATAAAGGGACTTGGTTCTCAGAAAGTGCCAGGGTCCCAGTCTCTGGAAGTCACACTCCTTTAAGCCCTCTCAAATTGGGCCCCCAACCCTATGTGGGCCCCAAAATAAGTGGCCTGCCTCCATTTCCCCTGAGTCTATTCAACCCTAGGGTTAGGGTTGAAACAGGTCTGTCATAGACCCAGAACAGCCCAACAGTGAACATGTAATAAATTTGGCATTGGTTTGTCTGTGCCTCAGTTTCCCCTTTTGCAAATAGGGTCTGAGATAATAAACCCATTTGTATTTGCCCAATCAAGTGTCACCCAGTTGCAAAACGCACACACATGCACAAGGGTGAAAACTGCAAAATGAACTAGAGCAAATGGAAACCGCCCCCCCCCCACCCCTTCCACCCGGTATTGCTACCAGTAACTTTTGATTGGTTAGTTTGGTCACACTGTACTGTTTTGTTTTTCCTGAGGGGGGGCCGGTGGAATGTGCATCTAATCTTCTTCTCTTGTAAATTCATTTTTGAAAATGTCCTGGTTCAAAAAATGTATCGGGGGGGAGGAGCTTGTTTCAGAGGGGGGGCGAAAGAATAGCAAAAATAATTGTGAAAGATTTAGTGAAAACTCAAGTACTATTACACAGGAATAGTCTGTGGTTCCCATTTTCTCCACCCTGTGTCCTGTCTATAGATTATACGTTCTTTGAGGCAGGGACTGTCAACTACTTGGTATATGTGTGCAGCACTTGTTGCGATGGGGGTCGCCGTGTATCTGTGCATGCCCAGTGTGACGGGGACTTTTTCTCAGTGACCATGTGCCGGAGCAGCACCCGGCACAATGAGGACCAAATCTCAGTTACTCTCTGTCTCTGCCGTGCCCAGTGGGACAGGGCTACAGTCTTAGTCATGGTGTGTCTGTGCTGGGGTCCAACCCGACGGGGCCCCAAACTTGTTCACCATGAGTCTAAGCTCCCTGTAAGCTCTGCGGCCACGCAGCAGCCTATTTAGTGCTGCACAGGCGCTTAGGGAACCTGCCCGGGGACCTACCAGGGAAGGGGTGCCCCTCCCCCAGCCACAACTCACCCAGCGGCCTGGACCTGCTGGGGCCGGGGGGAGGGGTGCCTAGCTTCCAGCCCCAGAGCTCCCGTGGCAGGGACAGGCGCCTCTCCCCGCCCCAAGCCCAGGTGTTGCTGTGGGGAGAGCGCTGGGGGGAGTCCTCTCTCCCCGCAATAGGCCTGGAGCACCCTCCTGCACCCTAAACCCCTCATCTCCACCCCAGAGCCTGCACCCCCAGCTGGAGCCCTCACCCCCTGCACCCCAACCCTCTGCCCCAGCCCTGAGCCCCCTCCCACAAGAACCCCTCGGCCCCTCCCCCACCACATGAATTTTGTTATGTGCACCAATATGAAGATGATGTGTCACACTTCACCTCCGTATTGGTGCACATAATGAACAAAATTCATTCCGCACATTGGTGGGAAAAATTAGAGGGAACACTGCCATGGGTACGTCTACACAGCAATGAAATATCTGTGGCTGGCCTGGGTCAGCTGGCTTGAGCTCATGGGGCTTGGGCTGCAGGGCTGTAAAGTTGCCACGTATATGTTTGGGCTTGGACTGAAGTCTAGGCTCTGGGTGCTGTCAGTGATAGGAGACTGGGCTAGATGGACCTAGATCGTCGGGCTCAACAAGTAGTGATCAACGGCTCGATGTCTAGCTGGCAGCCGGTATCAAGCGGAGTGCCTCAGGGTGTCTGTCCTGGGGCCGGTTTTGTTCAACATCTTCATTAATGATGTGGATAATGGGATGGATTACACCCTCAGCAAGTTCGCGGATGACACTAAGCGGGGGGGAGAGGTAGATATGCTGGAGGGTAGGGATAGGGTCCAGAGTGACCTAGACAAATTGGAGGATTGGGCCAAAAGAAATCTGATGATGTTCAACAGGACAAGTGCAGAGTCCTGCACTTAGGACGGAAGAATCCCATGCACCGCTACAGGCTGGGGACCGACTGGCTAAGCGGCAGTTCTGCAGAAAAGGACCTGGGGATTACAGTGGATGAGAAGCTGGATATGAGTCAACAGTGTGCCCTTGTTGCCAAGAAGGCTATCGGCATATTGGGCTGCATTAGTAGGAGCATTGCTAGCAGATCGAGGGAAGTGATTATTCCCCTCTATTTGGCACTGGTGAGGCCATATCTGGAGTATTCTGTCCAGTTTTGGGCCCCCCACTACAGAAAGGATGTGGACAAATTGGAGAGAGTCCAGCGAAGGGCAACAAAAATTATTAGGGGGCTGGGGCACATGACTTATGAGGAGAGGCTGAGGGAACTGGGCTTGTTTAGTCTGTAGAAGAGAAGAGTGAAGGGGGATTTGATAGCAGCCTTCAACTATCTGAAGGGGGCTTCCAAAGAGGATGGAGCTAGGCTGTTCCCAGTGGTGGCAGATGATAGAACAAGGAGAAATGGTCCCAAGTTGCAGTGGGGGAGGTCTAGGTTGGATATTAGGAAACACTATTTCACTAGGAGGGTGGTGAAGCACTGGAATGGGTTACCTAGGTAGGTGGTGGAATCTCCTTCCTTAAAGGTTTTTAAGGCCTGGCTTGACAAAGCCCTGGCTGGGATGATTTAGTTGGTGTTGGTCCTGCTTTGAGCTGGGGGTTGGACTAGATGACCTCCTGAGGTCTCTTCCAACCCTAATCTTCTAGGATTCTATGACCTTGGTGTTGATCCCATATGGCAAAGCCTACAATCTATTGCTCCAGAGGGCCCCCTCCTTTGCCCCAGTTTCCAGGTCTGGTGCTCCACTTCATATCATAAACATTGAGTGTTTCTATGGCTCCAGTTTGCCGTTGGATCCCTTGTGCATGTGCGTCCAGAGAGGAAGCAGGAGCCATTCCTGGGTAGTGCAGGAGCCACCAGTAATGTATATCTGGGGCCTGGGGATGGATGGAGACTTGGCCTTTATTGTTTAACCCCAGGACCTCCTGTTAGTATATTGGCCTGTTTGTTAGTCTGGGGCAGAATTTTGGGCTTGACTTTTGATGCTCTTTTATCCTTACTAATATCTGTGAGCAAAGACACTATGTGTTACTTCTACCCAGCCAGATGGGCTTGTTAGTACAATGAGAGGAGAGTGTTAAAAGTGTTACTGGGTGTGGTTGGGTGTATAATATCTGAGCATATGCTGGAAGGCTGCCTGGCACTTCTCTCAAGCCAAGGTCAAGCAACCAGTTAGGAGGGGCAAGAGGGGATGGGGAGGAGGCATAAGAAACACTAAAGGCCAAAGAAAGGCCTGGCCTTGGCCAGAACACAACCTCACTCCTTACCCCTCCCATGGGATACAAAAGAGGTGGTACCACGACCTCAGACTCATGACCCTCCGAAAAGGGACATGACCATAAATTGTAAGGGGTGGGACCAGGGACGTGCACTGCAGGTATATTTGGGCCTGCTAAGGAGGTGGGAATAGGGAACGGGGACACAGGTAAAGGCTCTGTGGCATCAGAGCCATGGAGATGCTCGCTTGAAACTAACCCCAATAAACATTGCATTGCCTGCAATGTTCCCTCTAATTTTTCCATCCATGTGGGAATAAATTTTGTTATGTGCCCCGAGGTATGCGTGGATGTGCACCACCCGTAGAAATAAAAAGGTTAATTACTCCAGCCAGGACAGGTTAGGCATTTTAGAACTCACTACTCAAAGAATTAAATTTAAGTGTAAGAGAGAAATAAAAATTATTAAATGCATAGACCAGTCAAAACTCTAAAATAACACACTTTGAAAGAATAAAATTACAGAGAATATATGTGCATTGAAGGAAGTACCAAGAAGTAACAACAATAATACAAGTATGTGTTGGGAGGTGAGTGTGAACGAGACTGTGTGTGCGTGTGTGCCACAGAGACTCTGGGTGTGTGCTGGCTGCTGGAGAAAGCCATGCACTGTCTCTTTAAGTCACTCACTGAAAGCTCTCCTGCTCTGTCCCGAGCCCTGTTTCCCCGCCTCTGCTCTAGGGAGATGGGCTACAGGGGGAGGGGGAAGAGTGTGTGTGTGTGAGAGAGACTGAGACTGAGCGCTGGCTGCTGGGGAAATCTCAGGAACCGTGCACTGTCTCTTTAAGAAAGGCACCCAGCCACTCACCATTCAGACCTCAGCCGCTCCTAGTCCTGAGCCAGGCTGTCCCCTCTGCGGAGGTGGGGTACAGGGGTGGGGGAAGTGGGACACTCTGACATCAGCACCCTCCTCTCCCACCCCTGTTCTGCATAGCCCGCAGGAGGGTTTTGGGAGAAGTTGCAGTACAGAGCAACGTGAGGGGAGGGGCACCTGAACACACATTGCTGGCTCTACGGGCTCTCTAATCAGCTGGCCGGCATTTGAATCTCTCCTGCGTGGCCAAGTGCGCAGCTTACAGGGAACACAGAGTGCCTGCACTTTGGACTTCCCCAGTCTTCTGCTTTCTGTCTGCATGACAAGAACCAGGGGAGGGGGTGAAGGGAAAGCCCCCTAACACCTCCCAAGACATAAGCCCAGCTGCACAGCTGAATCTGCCCCTTCTTGCTGCAGGACAAAGGGAAGAGCTCCTCGTACCTGCTCTACGAAGCCAGAGGCCCTGGGGGATCTGCGCTGCTCATTGAGGTGCTGACGGACAATGCAAAGCGAGCCTACCAGGATGTTCGGCTCATCCTGAGCCGCAATGGGTCAGTCCTTCCCTGCCGGGCCCGACAATCCTGCATTTCATTGCACAAAGGCCCTTCCCGTGCTCCATGCAATGACCAAACCGACACTTCTGGGTCTTAAAACATGAGTGTCTAGTGGTTGAGATAAACACAATGCATTAGTGCAAGGGAAATAGCTGGCTAACTCTCTCTACAGCCTGGCCACAACATATAGTCTACATGGGGGTCAGGGCTGGTCTGTACATGAAGTTGTAATAAGCAAGGCCTTGGGTTGAATGATCAAAAGCACCTAAGTGGTTTAGGAGCCATAGTCCCATTTTCAAAAGTGACTTTCAGCCTTTAGGAGCCCAAGTCTTGGAAAATCAATGGGATTCAGGTTCCTAAGTCATTTAGAGTCTTTGGGAAATGTTACCCCGGGTTTACTGGAACAGGTGCACCGGATTAACTTAAACGGGTTTAATTAAACTGGTGCACACCTGTGGCATTAATTTAGCTGGAATAAATGGGCCAAAGGTGTTAACCTAACAATGTCACTGTCCAACATTAAAAAGCGTTAAACAAGGTTCGGGGTTTGGTATACAGAGACCTCATGCTGCTTAGCAGCATGGCAAACACCCCACTAAAAATCCTTTGGTTAAAGATTCAGAAAAGAGGGCAAAACAGTTAAAGCCTTTGAGATGTAAAGTATTGAGTAAGGCTTTGATTTTAATAACTTCCCTTCTGGATGGAGAGAGTCTTTAGATGTCAAAGAAGGGTTTCTCCGGTCTCTTAGATGGTCACAAAGATGGTGATGACTGGTCTTTGCGCTAAAAAAATAAGTTAGTTGAGATGAGCTGAAGCCGTTGCTGTTGCTGCTAAAGTCTGATCGCATTTTATCTCATGTTTGGGGCTGTGTCTGCACTGCTAAGAGACACCCGTGGCTGGCCCATGCCGGCTGGCTTGGGCTAAGAGGCTGTTTATCTGTGGTGTAGACATTTAGGTCAGGATGGAGCCTGAGCTCTGGGACCCCATGAGGGGGGGAAGGTCCCAGAGCTTGGGCTCGGATGTCTACACTGCAATTAAACAGCCCCTTAGCGCGAGCCTGAGTCAAGTGGCACGGGCCAGAAGCAGGTGTCCAGTTGCAGTAGAGACATAACCTGGGATTCAGCTCGAGCTGATAGGGGTGGTGATGTCATCTGAGTCCCTATCTTTGGCCTGGTCTGGTCAGGATATCCCTGAGGATTACGATGAAAGGGGTCTGGGTCTAATAGTCTCCATCGGTTCTTCCCATATTTCCCCCTAAATTACTTTAAGGACCCCAAAATGTACCAATGGGTAGAATAGCCAAGCCCCTTGTTATCCTGTTCAGCAATTAGGCCTAATTTCCGATTCACCAATTTTGGTTCATTAATTTCTAGTTCCACATCTTTGGTGTTTAGTAAGGATGATTTCAACATAGCCCTTGAGTTATACTAGTCAGCCTTTTTGTTTTAGACTACTTCATTCTTTCTGTCTCTTTCATACCTTTTCCCATCAGCATTTGTTATTAGGGCAAATACAGTGCCAGTCTATAAAAAGGGAAATAAGGACTACCCAGGGAGTTACAGACCAGTCATCTTAACTTCAGTACCTGGAAAGATAATGGAGAAACTAATTAAGCAATCAATTTGCAAACACCTAGAAGATAAGGTAACAGTCATCATAGATTTGCCAAGAACCCCAACTCCTGCACCCAAACTCCCTCCCAGAGCCTGCACCTTGCACCCCCGCCTGCACCCCAACCCCTACCCCAGCCTGATAAAAGTGAATGGAGGGAGAGAGCGAACGATGGAGGGAGGGGTTGGATTGAGCTGGGGGCGGAGTGAGCGGGGGGCAGGGCCTCGGAGAAGGAGCAGGGCAGGGGGCGTGACCTCAGGGAAGGGCGGAGTGCGGGGACTTGGGGATCCCTGAAAATTTTTAAATCAAAATGGGGGTTCTTGGGTTGCTAAAGTTTGAGAACCGCTGGTCTAGATAATACTTAGTCTTGCATTGAGTGCAGGGCACTGGACTAGATGACCTCTCAAGGCCCCTTCCAGTCCTATGATTCTAAAGGCTACTGTGACATCTCATGAATTTTTACATACCTTTTACAGTTGAGCTCACAATTAGGGTAAATTTGCCAGCCCAGTTCTCACAACACATCTCTGGGTGGACTCTCTTATATCTGTGCAAGAAGGGCTTAATTGGAGGTAGCTTAAACCTCTTCCCAAACCATTTACATGGTTATGGATTCAGAGAAGAGCTACAAGAGCAATCTGGGGGCTGGAAAACCTGCCTCAGAACGAAGGACCAAAGGAGCTCGTTCAATGTCTTTTCTCTCAGAGAAGGGTAAGAGGGGATGTGATCCTGGTCTAGAAGCACCGACATGGGGAGGGGATTTCTGAGAGCAGAGGGGTCTTCAACCAGCAGACAAAGGCAGAGTGAGATCCACTGGCTGGGAGCTGAAGGGAGACAAATTCAGGCTGGGAACAAGGAGCCCATGGTTACCAGGGAGGGGAATGAATCACTGGAACAGCTCCCCAAGGGACGAGGTGGATTCTCCATCACTGGGAGTCTGTCAGTGGAGAGGGGGTGTCTTTTTCCTCAAAGGCCTCTCCAGCTCAGCCAGGAGTTACTGGGCTGGCAGCAGGAATCACTGGGGGAGATTCTCTGGCCTGGGCTAGGCAGGAGTCTGGGCTGGATGAGCACAATGGGATAAATTCAGTACGCTGAGAGCCTTCACGCTCTCTCTCTGAGGCAGGTGAATCATTCTTGTGGCTCTTCTCTGAGCCCTTCCCCCCTAGTCTCCATCCTGTGCAAGGCACGAATCCCCTGGAGCAGCATCCAGGAATGGTCTCTCATGCTGTATAGAAGTGACTCCCTGTCCCCTGATGTCCCCCTTTTTCCCATGCAGGGCGCAGATGTCCGACGGGGCCCGGCACAGCTTTGACAAGAAGGGGGTGATCACGGTCAGCGGGCAGGACTCTCAGCAGAGGCCAGTGGCCCTGGAGCAGGCCCTGGAGCTGGCGATCGAGGCCGGGGCCCAGGATGTGTGGGAAGAAGACGATGACGAGGAGCGAGCAGTTCTGAAGGTGGGTGTGTGTGACAGGGGCTCCCTGGCTAACATAGTGGCAAGTCCCTTGTGGCCCTTGCCACAGGGCCCTCCCGCTGCTGCAGTGAGGGCTGCTGGGAGAACGTGGGACTGCGGAGCGGGAGATACCATCAGCCAATGGGGGGCAGCAGCCGGTTGATGTAATTGCTCAGGCACCAATCGGGGCCCACCTGGTGCTAATCTGGTTCGGGGGACAGGTGTGGAGATATGTGGGGGTCTGGCTGGTTCTGATCCAGCCCAGGTGATGGGGGAGATACATGAGGGTCTGGCTGGCACTGATCTGGCCGGGGAAGGGGAGGAATCGTGGGGATCTGGTGCAGCTCTGGCTCAGGGGGATTACACACAGGATGTGTGGGAGGCATTGGCAGGGTATGCTTTGCAATTACCCTCGAGAATGCTATGGGAGCATAAGGAGGTTGGGAACAGCCCCCCTCAGGGTCTTCCCTGGCTGGCATGGGCATCGCTCGCTGCCCTCTGTCCCATTCCCTGCTTCCCCAGGGGGACTGTGTATAAGTGAGAGCTGCCCTGAGGCTGCTGTAGCAAACACCTGGGGGCTCGTCCTGCACTCCCTGTCCCACCAGAGTGACTGCCTGGGCCCTCCTTTGCTGCCGTTATTCCTGGGGTGGGGGATTAAATCCCCTGGAGCCGCAGTGCAGGGACAGGGTGAATGGGGGTCAGACGACAAGTTAGATGGTAGCCAGCACCAGGCATTGAACTAGCGACGGCCGGATCTGAAGAGGCAGGCTCTACAGATCAGGCCCAGCGGGGGCAACGTGGCCCACACTGTCTGTTCAGCGGGCACCCACGCTGCTCTGCTACGGCCCAGGGGGCCAGTGGGCAGGTTTGCAGCCCCTCACAGCCCCTGTCCTGTCCTCTCCCCTCAGTTTGTGTGTGAGGTGCCATCACTGCACCAGGTGCGGGAGAAGCTGGACTCGCTGGGGCTACAGTCGCTCTCCGCTGCCCTGGAGTTCATCCCCAATGCCAGGGTGCGGCTGTCAGATGAGGAGATGGAGCGGGCATCCCAGCTGCTGGCCACGCTGGGCGACTGCCAGGAGGTGATCCGGGTCTACGACAACATCGAGTAGGGGCCAGCGCATGGGGGTAGCAGATGGATGGTGACAAGGCACGTCGGTCCCGGCTTGGCCTAGTCCTGGCCTAAGATCAGCCCATATGGTGGGCAATGGGTGCAGCTCAGCTTGAGATCCTCCTGTATGGACGGCAACCGGTGTGTGGTTCACAGCTTGGCCTAGTCCCTTGGATCAGGAGCCCATGGGGCAACCATTTCAGGACTCTGCCTCATCCCGCCCTGGGATTGGACACCTGAGCGCCACGTGGTTTAGGGCTCGGCCCAAGATCGGTCTTAATTTGAGATTTCTTCCCAGGGTGAACCATCCCCATCGCTTTCGGGCCATTAGTAACAGGTGCAGCTCTCCAGGTTGCCAGCACTGGGTGCAATCTGGCGGCACTCTCTGGGGCAGAAGCCCTTGCTCCTGAGGATGGGGCGTGTTCTCTGAGGCATCTTATGGCTCCTAACGTCGTCCCCTGGGATTCGTGACCTGAATGCCTCGGCTCCCCTCTTGAGTCTGATCCAGCAGGCCTTCTGCAATAAGGCCTCCCTGCGTGATGCTCTGGCATGTCCCCCTCCCGCTGGGTGGAGGGAGCTTCCTCTGCACCCAGCACCGAATGCTCCGCGGATAAAGAGTAACACTGTGCCAAGGCGATGACAACCTACGGACTTAACACCTCCCTGTTGTGTGACCCCCTATTCAGCACCCCCAGCAGGAGAGCAATAGGGAGCGCACCCCACCCTCCAAATGTACTGTCTGGGGAGGGCGGCCTTTCCCTTACACTGCTTAATAAATGGTTTGCTTGTCAGTGCTGGGGAGACTCTATCCATAACTTGGCTCTCACCGCAGTGTTGCTACGTCCATCCAAATGCAAACACACCAGGAAGGGCAGAGGGTGCAGCATTAGGAGAGGGAACCTTTGGGGGGGGGGTCACAGAGTGTGGGTGTTGAATGAGCAGTTGACTGGCAGGTAAACGGGATGGTGACAAACTGTTAATGGTTCAAAAGAGCCACAAGAACGATTTGAGGTCTGGAAAATCTGCTGTGTAGTGAGAGAGTGGAGGAGCATGATCTATTTAGTGAAGAGAAGGTTAAGAGGTGACGTGATCCTGGTCTGTAAGCACCTAAATGAGAAGGGGATTGCTGAGAGCAGAGGGCTGTTTAATTCCCAGACAAAGGCAGAGCAAAATCCACAGGATGGGAGCTGAAGGGAGAAAAGTTCAGGCTGGGAATAAGGGTCCAGTGTTTACCAGGGAGGGGAATTCACCATTGGAGGGGGTGGATTTTCCATCACTGGGAGTCTGGCAGTGGAGATGGGGTGTCTCTTTCTCAAAGCCCCACTCTAGCTCAGTCAGGAGTTATTGGGTAAGAGGTGATACCACAAAGATTCCCCGGACTTCATTGTGTGTCCCTAGCTTCCATTTTGAATAGGCAAAAGTCACTCCACCATTAGAAGCTGAAGTTGACATGGTACTTCACTGCTGAAAATAGGCCAAAAGGTTGAAAGTTCAGCGGGGGGGAGAGGGAGGAATAGAATTGGTAGAAAGCCAAAAAGGTGCAGAATAACTCAGTGATAAACAACTAGCGATAAACATGCACGGTAAAGATCTGATAGCTGACAGGACAGTATAAAAGGCAGATAGTTACGACTATTAAAACAGTTAGGAGCAGAGTGAATTAAGAGATCCAGCGGAGAGCTGACCTGAAAGAGCGGAGCCAAACGGAGTGAAGCAACCTGAAAAACCAGCAGCAGAGTCAACACAGCAAAATCAGCAGATAAGGTGAGTCTCTTAGTTACAATTATAGTATAGCATTAATATGTGTGTGTGAGGGCATGTATGAGTGTGTTAATTGTGCTTTATATATGTAAAACTCAAAGTACATTTTAAGATTGCTATCAGCACAAAACACACAAAAAAGAAGCTTACAAGAAGTGGAAGATTGGACAAATGACCAGGGAGGAGTATAAAAATATTGCTCAGGCATGCAGGAGTGAAATCAGGAAGGCCAAATCACACTTGGAGTTGCAGCTAGCAACGGATGTTAAGAGCAACAAGAAGAATGTCAAGGAAAGTGTGGGCCCCTTACTGAATGAGGGAGGCAACCTAGTGACAGAGGATGTGGAAAAAGCTAATGTACTCAATGCTTTTTGTGCTTCTGTCTTCACGAACAAGGTCAGCTCCCAGACTGCTGCACTGGGCAGCACAGCATGGGGAGGAGTGACCAGCCCTCTGTGGAGAAAGAAGTGGTTTGGGACTATTTAGAAGAGCTGGACGAGCACAAGTCCATGGGGCCGGATGCGCTGCATCCGAGGGTGCTAAAGGAGTTGGCGGATGTGATTGCAGAGCCATCGGCCATTATCTTTGAAAACTCATGGCGATTGGGGGAGGTCCCGGATGACTGGAAAAAGGCTAATGTAGTGCCCATCTTTAAAAAAGGGAAGAAAGAGGATCCAGGGAACTACAAGCCAGTCAGCCTCACCTCAGTCCCTGGAAAAATCATGGAGCAGGTCCTCAAGGAATCAATTCTGAAGCACTTAGAGGAGAGGAAAGTGATCAAGAACAGTCAGCATGGATTCACCAAGGACAAGTCATGCCTGACTAACCTAATTGCCTTCTATAACAAGATATCTGGGTCTGTGGATGAGGGGAAAGCAGTGGATGTGTTATTCCTTGACTTTAGCAAAGCTTTTGATACGGTCTCCCCCAGTATTCTTGCCAGCAAGCTAAAGAAGTATGGGCTGGATGAATGGACTATAGGGTGGTGTGAGAAAGTTCCTCCTCTATCTTGGTGGGTCCTGCACTTATTGGCGGATTTTCTTGCCTCAGAGATTCACCATGTGGGTTGGGGAACAGCCCAGAGACCTTCACTTCTGGAAGAACCCACAGTCCAGGTCAATTGGGAGGTTTGGGGGGAACCCGGGCCCGCCCTCTACTCCGGGTTCCAGCCCAGGGCCCTGTGGACTGCAGCTGTCTATAGTGTCTTCTGTAACAGCTGCATGACAGCTACAACTCCCTGGGCTACATCCCCAGGGCCTCCTCCAAACACCTTCCTTATTCTCACCACAGGACCTTCCTCCTGGTGTCTGATAATGCTTGTGCTCCTCAGTCCTCCAGCAGCACGCGCGCACACTCTCAGCTCCTTGCACCTCTTGCTCCCAGCTCCTCACGCTCCCCCCCACAAACTGAAGTGAGCTCCTTTTTAAAACCCAGGTGCCCTGATTAGCCTGCCTTAATTGATTCTAGAAGCTTCTTCTTAATTGGCTCCAGGTGTCCTAATTAGCCTGCCTGCCTAAACTGGTTCTAGCAGGTTCCTGATTACTCTAGTGCAGCCCCTGCTCTGGTCACTCAGGGAACAGAAAACTACTCATCCAGTGACCAGTATATTTGCCCTCTACCAGACTCCTGTACCCCACTGGTCTGGGTCTGTCACAGTGGATAGAAAGCTGGCTAGATCGTTGGGCTCAATGGGTAGTGATCAGTGGCTCCATGTCTAGTTGGCAGCCGGTATCAAGCGGAGTGCCCCAAGGTAAGGGGGTCATAAGAAAGAGACTGAGGAGGCTCAGTGGAATAACAGTGCAGATGAGGAGGCTAAGGAAGGAGCTAACGAGGGGACGTTGTGGCAACCGCAATTCCAGTTAGCTCCAATAGCAGTAGTAGAAGGGGATAAAACAGACCAAATAGGTCTAATATCCCTACAGAAAAAAGATCCAGCAATAAAAAGGCTTGTAGCTAAAGGGGAATATCAAGAGTGGAAAATTTGGCTGCATAATACAGGATTAATTTTAGCTACCAGAATGGGGGAAATGTTGCCAGTATGGGTTGTCTCAACTGAAATAAGATCTGAAATGGTAACCCTAGTCCATAATAATGGACATCTAGACATGGAGAAAACTCTCAGCAGGCTGCAAGCAGCAGCTGGTGGCCAAATAGGAGAACCGATATAGAGCAGTATGTAAATAATTGCTTGCCTTGTGCTGCCAATAATGCAGATATTGGACTGGTAGAAGGACCCCCCTGAGTCATCAAAGGATAGAGGGTCCCTAGGCCAGAATACAAATTGATTGTATTGGTCCATTACCTAAAACTGCAAAAGGAAACCAATATTATCTACAAAAAGAACAAGAGTCCTTGTGGCACCTTAGAGACTAACAAATTTGTTAGTCTCTAAGGTGCCACAAGGACTCCTGTTCTTTTTGCGGATACAGACTAACATGGCTGCTACTCTGAAACCTGTCAATATTATCTAGTAATAATTCAGTGCGAGACAAAAGGAAAAGTGACAGAAGGAAAGAGCGAAGTGAAAAATGGTGTTTCTCTCCTGTCCCTCGCCCCTGGGGGTGTCACAGCCAGATGGAGCTTTGGGACGGGCACTGAAGATGAATCCTGCATCCAAATAGCACTGCCGCGGGGCCATAGGAATCAGAGAATTCCCAGAACTGGGAAAGGGCAAGAGGACCCTGCCCTTGTAGCATGATACCCACTACAGAGCCCCCCCCCCACCTGCTCCCTGCAGCACAGCGCCCCCTACTGAGCCCCCACCCCACTCCTTGCAGCACAGTGCCCCCTACTGAGTGCCCATCCCACTCTGCAGCGCCCCCTAGCACCACAGTGGGTTACTGGGCTGAGCACCACTCTCATTGCCCTCCAGGCAGTGTGGGCCACTGAAAGTAGGCCAGGCTCAAGGCTCAGGTAACCATGCTGGGGTGGCTGCATCTGCCACCTTCCCTGATTCCTGCCACTGCATGTGCTCCTGGACCCTGCCCACGGGCCAAGCTAGGGTCAGCGTGGGATGCGGGGTCCCATAGCAACAGTCACACCCACAGCAGGGGGCCCACTGTGGAGCAACAGGGGTGCCCTTCCCAAGCTCCACCTACAACACAAGCTTGTATCTGAAGACAAACAATAAGCCCCACCTTTTCAGCCATTGAAGATGTGGGTTATTGTTCATAGATGGGAATTCATTGGACTTGAACCTAACTTTGTGTGTTTGTACCACTGTGTTTTAGTTAATAAAATATGCGATTTGGGATTTCATTTCATGTCAATATTCCTTGACACTGGGCACTTTACAAAGTTGAGAAGTTGATGACGATGACTCAAACCATGCCAATGCTATGGAAAAACTGGTATTTTGTTTTGAGTTTTTCCTTCAATTTATTTGAAAGTTCCAGGAAAAAAACAACCCTCACAAAACAAATGTTAAAAGTACAAATATTAGGAATACAACATTTCCATCACAGCCAGTCATCTCAATACAGTCTCCATGGCTCAGAGCATGGTAGAGGTTAACCAATGTGTTATCCACAACACACATAAGGGACATGTGACTCTAACTTAAAGCCTCCTTCACATCCCAGTGAGTGTTCAAATCTCCAAGCAGCCTGGCACGATCTCCCCAGTGGAGCTATGGCCAACTTACTCCAGCTGGGGATCTGGACCATTGTCTCCAATGAAGCTACGGACAATTGACACCAGCTGGGGATCTGGCCCCATTGACTCTGTTGGAACTATACCTGATTTATGCCAGCTGGGAATCTGGTTTAGCAGACTATAGCCCTTGTGTTGTTACATCTGCAAGCTTAGATCTCAGAGACATAGACTGTTACTAGTGACCCAAACTCAATGACTGAATAGTTCAAATGTTATGATTCCAGTCTTTCAGCCTTCCACTGGATGAAAAGTTTTTGCTCTCCCAATGCAATTCTGCCTGGGGAAGCTCCCAGCCAGCTGATCTCTTTCTGCTTTTGTCTGTGAGATTAAAGACCCCTCAGAAATCAAGAGAGATGAATCTAGTTGAGGAGTGAATTCTAAGTGGATTATGGGAAAATACAGCACAAGAACATCTGTTTGACATTCCCGGTGCACGTCTGACTGGGTGAAACCACAGGTTGTGTTGGCTGGGCAATGTGTAACCTTTATTGAAAAGAGCCGGTTGGAACTCTTCTGATGGCATATGTCTCCTTCAGAAAATGCCATTTCATTGAAACTGCTATTTCATTGCGTGGAAATGCATCAATTTCATTTAGGAAAAAAACTGGAACAAAATGCTTTGATCTTTAGCGGAACATTTTGATTTCCCATTTCCAAACGACATTGCCTTTCAATTTTTTAAATTGCGTATTACATATATTTTTTAATGGTATATTATGTTATATAATAAAAAATGAAAAAGTCTAACCCAGAACAAATTGTTTTGGTCAACACTAGATGTTCCCTTCCACGGATTTTGTTTTAGGGGAAGTTTTGAATTTGTTTCTTTTCATTCTGTTTTGGAATGGATGTTTCTCCCCCCCCCCCCCCCCCCAAAAAAAATTTAACAGAATTTCCCATGAAATGGAAAACCATCCAGATCCATCGATGAGTCCACCGTGTCGCTGCTTTAGCCCAAGCAGGAGAGGCAGGTGCATGTCCAATTGTGTGTAATCCTCTGCTGCCCTCTGTTGGCTGGGCAATGTATTGTGGTTTGTAATTCCCATCATGTCTGTGAGTTAGCACAAACATTGGAGGCGTGTGATGTTAGACCCATAGTCCCCACGGCGAGCACCATTATGTGGGTGTGGTGGAGGGCTGCGAGGCTGTGTGGGTCCTTTGGTGCTGCAGATAGCCTGAGCTCTGCCGGAAGCTCTTGCCGCATTGGTGGCAGCGGTAAGGTTTTTCACCAGTGTGGATGCGCTGGTGGGTGAGCAGGTTGGAGTTCTGGCTAAAGGCCTTGCCACACTGCGGGCACTTGTACGGGCGCTCACCGGTGTGGGTGGTCTGGTGCTGGATGTAGGTGGAGCTCTGGCTGAAGCCCTTGCCGCATTGGTGGCAGCGGTAGGGTCGCTCCCCAGTGTGAGTGCGCTGGTGGGTAACCAGATGGGCGCTGCGCCCAAAGGCGCGCCCACAGTCCGGGCACTTGTAAGGCCGCTCACCGGTGTGTGAGGCCTGGTGAGTGATGAGGTTGGAGCTCTGACTGAAGGCCTTGCCGCATTGGTGGCAGTGGTAGGATCTCTCACCTGTGTGGGCCCGGCGGTGCTGGGCCAGGGCCGAGCTCTGCCCAAAGCACTTCCCGCACTCACCGCACTGGTATGGTTTCTCACCGGTGTGGATGCGGAGGTGCTGGGCCAGTGTGGAGCCCTGTGTGAAGCTGCGCCCGCACTCGGGGCACTGGTATGGTTTCTCCGCCAAGTGCACGCCTTGGTGCTTGAGCAAGGATGAGCGCTCCACGAAGACCCGTCCGCACTGGGGGCACTCGTGGCGCTTGACCCCTGCGTGCACCCGCTGGTGGGTCAGCAGGTTGGCATTCTGGCTGAAACCGCGGCCGCACTGTGGGCAGCGGTAGGGCTTCTCGCCCGTGTGGGTGCGCCGGTGCGTGGTCAGGTTGGAGCTCTGGGCGAAGCGCTTGCCGCAGTCAGCGCACTGGTAGGGGCGTTCCCCGCGGTGAATGCGCTGGTGCTGGCACAGGGCTGAGCTCCAGCTGAAGCGCTTGCCACAGTCAGGGCACTGGTAGGGACGGTCCCCAGTGTGCGTGATCTGGTGCTGCAGCAGGTGGGAGCTCTGCCCAAAGGTCTTGTCGCACTCGCTGCACCGGAATGGCTTCTCGGCTGGCTGGGGGGCAGAGGTGAGATCTCCAAGCACCCCGTCCAGTGGAGGGGCAGCAGTGGGATCCCCAAACACCTCTTCTTTGTTGCACCGGAAGGGCTTCTTGTCCTGCCGGGGGTTAGCAGTGGGATCCCTGAGTACCTCGTCCCCACAGCCAGTGGAGTCTGCCAGGTTCTCCCAGAGCGGGAATGGGCACAGGGAGCTGTGGGCAGAATGGAACGTCCCTACAGTGTTGGCATCTTCCTTGCTCAGCGTCCTGTCAACAGCTGGAATGAAGAGACAATCCAGATCAGAGTCAATTCCTGAGTCAGGCTGTTGTTGTAACATCTACGGCAGGGGCACCTATGAATGGGGATGGTGCAGGGCTTAGGGCACTGGACCGGGAGTCAGGAGATCTGGGTTCAATTTCCTGCTCTGAAACGGACTTCCTGAGTGATGCTGGGTGAACCTCTCTGGGCCTCAGTTCCCCACCTTTAGTCTGATCCTTCCCGGCCTCACAGGGGCTGTGTGCGGCTAAACTCATAAATGATTGTGAGGTGCTCAGACCCGGCACTGGTGAGGCCAGATAAATAACACGGATAGATACGTGTGCCAAATAAGAGCAGGGCCCCACTGGGCCGGTCACTGCAAAGACAGAGTGATGGAGAGTGGGACCCTGTCACGCTGGGTGGTGCACAGGCACCCAGGAAGTGAGATTGGGATGCTGGGCACTGCACGGACACAGAGTGACTCAGATCGGTGGGGTGGGTGAGGCACTGGGACCAAGATCAGCGTGCCAATAGCTGCACAGACACACAGCGACTGAGATCAGGGCCCCGTCGTGCCGGGCGCTGCACAGACACACTGCGACTGAGATCAGGGCCCCGTCACACTGGGCGATGCACAGATACGCAGTAAGGGCAGGGGATGGAGAAGTGATTTGTTACCCGTTTCAAGGGGCTCCTCTTTTATGTCACAAAGAAGCTCACGTTGGTGTCCTGTTTCCTCGAGAGGCTGGGGCTTCTCTTTGGTGATACAGAGCAGCTCAGAGTGGGGTCTTGCTAGTTCACCCTTTCCCTCCTCCTCCTGGGATACGCACTCAGGATGGAGCGGTGGCTGGTCCAGCTGGGAACCAGGAGATTCCCATAATGCCCCAGGGGATGCCATCTTCTCCGAGGTCACTCATTCAACCTTCACTCGCATGCACCGCGACCTGGGGAAGAGCGGAACGGGTCACCGCGGAGCCAGGGCCTGGGACCCACTGGGGAGAGTGGGCTGTGAGAGGGGAGACCGCAGGGAAGGGGGAGGGGAGCACAGACTAGCAGGGGGCGCTGTGGGGGCGTGGGGGAGACACCCCAGGCACAGCTCTGCCAATGCCCCCCGGCCCCAGCCCTGTTCCCAGCTCATACCGCCCCGGAGCTGGCTGGGGAGCGGGGGTCTCTCGAGTCCGATCCCCTCCTCCCTGCAGCAGCTTCTCCCGGGCAGCGATTTCCTGCCGTCGCTGCTGTTTCTCTCCTTCCCTCCCTGGTGCCCCTCGCTGCAGCCCGGCACCCCCACTCACCGCCCGGCGGGGGCGATCCCCACAGACCCCGCTGCTCACACCCGGGCCAGACCGGGCTGGGGACCCAGGTGCTGGCCGGGCGCTGTCAGGAAGGTCCCTCCGTTATCCTGTCCCCGTCCCAGCTGTCTGCTCTGTGAAGTGGCAGACTCAGGATTCACTGGGCTTAACCCTTCCCACCCCAGCCATGATGCAACAGGAGCCACTAAATACATTGTGAGAAATGGGGCAGGTCCCCCACTGGTGTAAATTGGCCCCAATTCCACTGGAGTCAATGGGGGCTAGGGTGACCTGAGAGCAAGTGTGCAAAATCGGGAGAGGGGGTGGGGGTAATAGGAGCCTATATAAGAAAAAGCCCCAAATATCAGGATTGTCCCTATAAAATCTGGACAACTGGTCACCCTATTTACCCCAGTGAAGGATCTGACCCTGGGACATCTTTGACATCTCTGTGTTAGGCAAAAGCTCCCTAGAATTATCTTTGCCACCCTTCAGGCCTTTTCTCTATCCTAGCCTTTTAGCCTATTGTCTATATTTCTGCTATTCTTCTGGCCAAATCTCATGGCAGCCTCGACTGGAAGTTTCTCCCTCAACACCTGAGAGACTAGACTCCCTCTTAAACTCCTGGTTTATTCTGTGGGCAACCTCTGCCCCCCCTCCCTTACAGTCATTTATAACAGCTTGGATTTAGAGTCATGGAGTTCAAGGCCAGAAGGGCCCATTGTGCCCATCTGGGTCAGGCTCCTGCCTAACCCAGGCCAGAGAATCTCCCCCAGGATTCCTGCCTCTGGCCCAGTAACTCCTGGCGGAGCTAGAGCGGAGCTTTGAGAGAGAGACGCCCCATCTCCACTGATAGACTCCCAGTGATGGACAGCCCACCTCCTCCCTAGAGGAGCTCTCCCAATGGTTCATTCCCCTCCCAGCTAAACACTGTCCCCTAATTCCCAGCCTCGATTTGTCTCCCTTCTGCTCCCAGCCAGTGGATCATGCTCTGCCTAGATTGGAGGATAAAGAACCCTCTGCTCTCAGCAATCCCCTCCCCATGTCAGTCACGTCATCTCTTAACCTTGTCTTGAATAAACTAAACCCACTGAACTCCTTTGGTGGCTCACTATTGGCAGGCTTGGCAGAATTTTATTTTTTAAAATAATGTTGATGGATCACATCAGTTTGGTTTGAAGCAATTTTTTCAATATTTATTCATTCAATTTTTCACAGTTGTAGGAAATTAGAGGGGGTCCAACAAGGAGGGGAGGGGGAGATGTCAGACAATAATTATTTAATGACGGTAGACTTCGGGATTAAAAAAGTTAAAGCTTTTTATTTACTAAAACACTAACGGTCAATGTCACATGTCAAAATAGACAAGGTATGGAGCCTTAAATCAAACTCTAGTTCTCAAGCAGTATGTTTCTTGCCTTACCTATCTGTACATTTTTATTATTACAATGGAAATTGTTTTTCATCTGTGGGTGTGGGTGGATGGTGAAACTGATATTTATCGACATTGACCAATAAAAATATAATCTTAACTATAGAGCTGGTTTTCCAGACCTCAATTAGCTCCTGTAGCTCTTCTCTGAACCCTTCTCCAATGGTGGGAGAGCTTTGCTTTGCCAGCAAAGGCCCAAATGCTGCTCTCACTTTGCTGGGATTTTCCCCAATAAACTCTTGTGAGAACAGTGTTGTGACACCAATAGACAAGATGCCAGCTCATGCCCCTGGCCTCACTGAATACTGACAAATGCATAGCTGGAAACCAGACTGGTTCACCTGTGTGTTAGCATTGTTAAAATATATATTAGCATCATGGAAATATGTTCTGTGTTTGGACTTTTTAAAATGCTTGTGAGTTGCTGCAGGCATTGATCTCAATGATAATATCTGTATCCTCTGTTATAAGGTGATAGTTAAGTGTTTGCTCTGTAACTAGTAAAGTGTTTGCTATGATACTGGAAACCCTCACAGTCAGGAGACAAGCATTACCACGTGTGCAATACTCGTTTACCACGAGAGGTGTCACCTCCTGCCCAACAGAAGAAAGCCCATAGAACCAGACAAACCATTGTGGAGTGGAACATCAAGTGGACAGGATACTGGGCTAGATGGACCTTTGGTCTGACCCAGTACAGCCGTTCTTATGTTCTTATGTACTTTTTGGAACCTAAGACGGTAACTCATCTGTGTGTGTAAGTTACTTGCTTTAACTTTGTGAATAACTCTCTTGTTTCCTTTTTTAAGTTAATAAATCTTTAGTTAATTACAGGATTGGCCACAAGTGGTGTCTTTGGGGGAAGATCTAAGGTGCAATTGACCTGGGGTAAGTGACTGGTCCTTTGGGACTGGGCGTAACCTCAATATTGTGTCAAGTATCAGGGAGTAGCCATGTTAGTCTGTGTCCACAATTTACCCACGAAAGCTTATGCCCAAATACATCTGTTAGTCTTTAAGGTGCCACCGGACTCCTCGTTTTTTTCTGAATATTGTTGTAATTTTTGGTGTCAGGGACCATCTCTCACAAAAGCAGGTTTGCCCGGGTGGCAAGCTAGACCGAGTGCCCATGGCAACTGCCAGTGACTCCAGTTAAAGTAGTTATTATAGCGCTTGAGGAGTTCACATTTGATACTAGGTTGGTGAAATCCATGTTATAGAACACACAACCGGTTTGGGGTTTGTGCCCTGGTTTGCATAACTGGGCCCTGAGGCTGGCACCCACGTTGATGAGCCACTCCAAGCAGCTTGACACCCGGTGTGATCTGTGTGGACCCAGCCTCTCACTCCCGCAGGCAGCCAGAGGCCCGAGAGGGCGAGAAATCCGCTCCCTTGACGTCTGGGGAGGGATGGGTTAAACCCACCGAGTTCCTCACCCCAGATCAGAGCAGGAGAAGCCGGCCCGGGATGGGGACGTAATACCTAGAGGGACCTTCCTGTGCCAGCCCCGACCGACACTTGGGTCCCTAGCCCGGCTCCCGGCCTGTGTGTGCGCAGGGCCAGTCCCCGGCTGCAGCCCCGGCAGGGCGGTGAGCGGGGCGCGGGGGAGACGCGGCTCCGGGGCGGGAGGGAAACAGCCGCAGAGGGAGGAAATCGCTGCCGGGAGGAAGCGGCCGCAGGGCCGGGGGATCTGAGCTGCCCTGTGCCTGGGACCAGAGAGATCCCCCCTCCCAGCCAGCTGGTCCTATAGAAGATATAACCGCCCCCGCCCCTTGTCTCTCTGCTTATCCCCTGGGCAGCGCGCAGGGTCCCCGCTAGAGACGTCTCTGTTCCAGCCCCTGCTGCGGAGTCCGGCTGCGCTTGGAGCTCGGGGCATGTCCATGTCTACACTATAGGGGCACAGAGGCGGTGCTGTCCTGGTAACTCCATAGCATAGGCGCTTCCTACAGCAGTGGAAGGGATGTCGTTTATGGACCTCTCCCAGGGCAGTGGCTAGGACCAGGGAAGACTTCTCCCCTTGACCTGGCCACCTCTGTATTGGGCCTAACTACAGCACAGCCCGTGACGTTTTTCACAGCCCTGAGCGATGCAGCTAGGTCGAGCTAATTTTTAGGCATGGATGAGGCCCCTCGCAGTAGAGGCTGGTACCTCTGGCCCCAAAGATCCCTCGTTTGATCCCCATTGCTGGTCACATTAGCACGTCTTCTACCCAGATGTTTTGTCTTCAGGACCCCCATGCTGTGCCCATGGGTCTCCTGGCCCTTTTTCCCATGTGCCGCAATCATATATCCCTCCAGGCAAGAAGTTCAAACTCACAGAGCGTCCTTTGTAACAGCTGTTCAACCCAGCCCTGGTCACCCCTCTTTTCTGTCTTCAGGGCTGGATTTCCACCCCCCAGACCAGCCCTGAGTCCCAGATGGAGCCAGAGGTAGAGCCGTGCACGCTGGATCCCCAGTGCTCCAGTGACAGCCGCGTCCCTACAGACACTTCTGCAGGTGAGAGACACTTCCTAACTAACCCTGGCTCCCCAAGATGCCCTGAGCCCGTCCAGTCCTGCCTCATCTCGTCCAGTTCGGCACTGGGACCAACAGCTGCCACATTAATGTGACGGGGTCAGTTGTGACTCCAGCTGGATAAGTAATCTGAGACATTCGGGATGGATTTGTTTTTTCAGGCACACTTCTGTTTATAAATGGCAGGTAAAGTGTTAATCAACGAGGCACAGATGTTCACAGCGTGGAACAGGCGTGTGTGGTGGATGGTTATAAGCACTACAAGGTGTGTAGATGGTTTTGTTTGGTGTTTGTATAGTGCTAGGACAATGAGGTCTTTGTCCACCACGTGGGCTCCTAAATGCTACAGTAATACAAATAAATCACACTAATAGTAATAATAATTAGACACCATGGGGTTAAGTAGCTTATTGAGCTGCTGAACACTCTATCCATTCAGTCACCCTTCTTCAAGACATCTAAGAACCATTTATAAATGGAGCCGTAGTATAAATTTGTTCTGCCTTGTGAATTCTCAGATTTGTCGAACTAAGTGGTTCTCACATTTCTCCAGTTAAATAGACACGTGTCGTTCAGCCAGGAGTTACTGGGTGGAGGAGGGAATTTCCACCCCCCAGACCATAATTGGGGAGATTCTCTGGGCTGCGTTAGGCAGGAGAACATAAGAATGGCCATACTGGGTCAGACCAATGGTCTATGTTGCCCAGTGTCCTGTCTTCCAACAGTGGCAGGTGCCAGATGCTTCAGAGGGAATGAACAGAACAGGGCAACTTACTGAGTGATCCATCCCCTGTCGTCCAGTCCCAGCTTCTGTCAGTCAGAGGTTTGGGGATACCCAGAGCATGGAGTTGCATCTCTAACCATCTTGACTAATAGCCATTGGAGGGTGGACTGGTGGTTATGATGGGCCCTGCTGGCCTTAAATTAATTCTTGGTTGGCAGATCATGCTAACAGTGATTGCTATAGAAGTGTACACAACTCACAAACTGGGCTACATTGGCGAGTTAAAGGGGGTTCCAAAGAGGATGGATCTAGACTGTTCTCAGTGGTAGCAGATGACAGAACAAGGAGTAATGGTCTCAAGTTGCAGTGGGGGAGGTTTAGGTTGGATATTAGGAAACACTATTTCACTAGGAGGGTGGTGAAGCACTGGAATGGGTTACCTAGGGAGGTGGTGGAATCTCCTTCCTTAGAGGTTTTTAAGGTCAGGCTTGACAAAGCCCTGGCTGGGATGATTTAGTTGGGGATTGGTCCTGCTTTGAGCAGGGGGTTGGACTAGATGACCTCCTGAGGTCCCTTCCAACCCTGATATTCTATGATTCTAACCCTGGCAGCCTATCTCCATCCACGTTCATCTCTCTGCCCGTCTACCCCATGTGTACTCATCTCTTGGAGAATCCACCTCATTCCTAGGGGTGCTGTTCCAATGGTTAATTCCCCTCCCTGGTAAACATTGGCTGTGGCCAAAACGGCTAGTGCAGTTCTTGGATGCATAAACAAGGGAATCTCTAATAGAAGCAGAGATGTTATTTTATCTCTGTATTTGTCATTGGTCCAAGCGCTCTTAGAATTCTGTGTCCAGTTCTGGTGTCCACAATCCAAGCAGGATGCTTAAAAATTGGAGAGGGGTTCAGAGAAGAGCCGCAAGAATAATTAAAGGATTAGGAAACCTGCCTTATAGTGAGAGACTTCAGAAGCTCAATCAATTAAATTTAATAAAGAGAAGGTTAAGGGGTGACTTGACCACAGTCTATAAGTATCTACACGGGGACAGAGAAAGGTCTAACACAATCCAATGGTTGGAAGTTGAAGCTTAGACAAATTCAGGCTGGAAGTAAGAGGTACATTTTTAACGTTGAGAGTAATGAACCACTGGAACAATTTCCAAAAGGGTCGTGGTGGATTCTCCATCCCTGACAGTTTTAAAATCAAGTTTAGATGTTTTCCTAAAAGCTCTGCCCGAGGAATGATTTGGGGGCAGGTCTCTGACCTGTGTTATACAGGAAGTCAGACTAGATGCTCACAACGGTCTCTCGTGGCCTTGGAATCTATGAAGCTATACAGCCAAGGATCTTGATACTGGGTGAAGTTCTCTGGCCTGGGTTACACAGGAGGCTGACTGGATGGGCACAATGGTCTCTTCTGGCCTTGACATCCACAGGCGAAGTCCTGGCCCCATTGTAGCCCATGGAATCATGGATTCCAAGGCTAGAAGGGACCACTGTGATTATCTAGTCTGTTCTGCTGTATCACACAGGCCAGAGAACTTCCCTGAGTTAATTCCTGTTTGAACTAGGCCGGATCTTTTAGAAAAACCTCCACACTTGCTTTAAAACTTGTCATGGAGAATCCGCCACAACCCTTGGTAGGTTGTCCCTATGGTTGATTACTCTCACTGTTAAAAATGCATGCCTCATAAACCCAGCACATCCTGGATTTCAGCCCATGATACCTCTCCTAGCCTGCGTGTTGTGCTGGGACACTGGCTCCCAGCCAGCTCCTTCTCTAGAGGGTGGGTTGGGAGACGGTTTTTCAGCCCAGTGAGTGGTGATCTGTTTCCATGTCGTTCCAGCTGGCAACGAGGCGCAGAGCGGGGACAAGGAGGGGAGTCCTGGCCCGGAGGACAGGGCACTGTCAGGCGGGTCTGAGTGGGAGTTGTCCCCCAGCCCCGACCGGGAGTGGCCACCGATGACGCTCCCCACTGCCAACTCAGGGAAACCCTACAACTGTGCCGACTGCGGCAAAGCCTTCACCTGGCCCTCACACCTGGTGCAGCACCGGCGCATGCACACGGGTGAGCGCCCTTACCGCTGTGCCGACTGCGGCAAAGGCTTCGCTGACAGCTCGTCCCTAGTTAAGCACGGCCGGACCCACACAGGAGAGCGCCCCTACACCTGCCCCCAGTGTGGCAAAGGCTTTGTGGACAGCTCATCACTCACCAAGCATGCCCGTACCCACACAGGCGAACGCCCCTACTGTTGCCCCAGCTGTGGGCGCGGCTTCGCCGACAGCTCCCGGCTGGCCCAGCACCGACGCACCCATGCTGAGGAGCGACCTTACTGCTGCCCCGACTGTGGGAGGGCATTCGGCCGTCGGGCACACCTGATCGAGCACCGGTACACCCACACTGGCGAGAAACCCCACCGCTGCCACCAGTGTGGCAAAGGGTTCAGCCAGAGCTCCAACCTGACGCAGCACCAGAAGACCCACCTGGCGGAGAAGCCTTTCATCTGCCCACAGTGCGGGAAGGGGTTCTGTCTGCGCTCCCAGTTGGCCAAGCACCAGCGGTTGCACAGCCCTGACAACCCCCATCGCTGTCCCCAGTGCCACAAGGGCTTTGTGGACCGCTCACCGCTCCTCAAGCACCTGAGGATCCACACCGGGGAGCGGCCCTTCCGGTGCACTGAGTGTGGGAAGACTTTCAGCATGAGTTCACACCTCACACAGCATCAGCGAGTCCACACTGGTGAGAAACCCCACCACTGCCACCAATGCGGCAAGGCATTTGCCCAGAGCTCCAACCTGACGCAGCACCTGCGCACCCATACTGGGGAGCGCCCATACAAGTGCCCCAAATGTGGTCGGGCCTTCAGTGATAGCTCCAGCTTCTTGAGGCACCAGCGGCTGCACAGTGGGGAGCGGCCCTACCGCTGCCACCAGTGTGGCAAGGGCTTCGCTGATGGCAAGGTGCTGCGCAAGCACCAACTGACCCATAGCGGTGAGCGGCCCTTTGCCTGTGGGCAGTGTGGCCGTGCCTTTGCCCAGAGCTCCAACCTGGTGCAACACCAGGCCATCCACACCGGCGAGCGGCCCCACCGCTGCCACCAATGCGGGAAAGGGTTCTGCTTTCCCTCACAGCTGGCGCAGCACCGGAAGCTCCATGCCACTATTATTGTGGTGGACGATGGTGATAACGAACTCCCCTCCCCACCTGCCAACTAAGCCCCTCCATTCCCTGGCTGCCCTGGGTGGGGATTGAACCCGGGACTCCTCTGTTGCTTGAGTTACTGGGCCAAGAGGGTGATACAGACTTGTAATCCTTTATCCAGCCACTAGAGAGAGACAGGGAGCAGGTTTAGTGCTAGAGCTGATCAAGGGACAGAAAGAAAAACAGTTTCACTAAGTCAATTTGGTTCTGGAACAAGACACTTTTTTTCTTTTAATCGAAATTGTTGGTGATATTTTTCCCCCCAAAAGTCATGTGACTATAGGAAAATCTCTGCTTTAAAAAGAAGTCATTTTCTGATCCTCGTGATTGGGGAGAAAAGCTGGGAAAATTACTCCAAATGGCTCAGAATCGTGACTAAACAGACCCTTACATTTATGATTTTCAACCTCTCATGATGTTTTTAAGCCATGATTATTCTGGGGGCTGGCTCGTGATTTCTGAGTGCTTAGAGTGGCCATGCTGCTGGGGTTAAATTTTGGAGATATTTGTGAACCCACTCCAATCCCAATGGAGTTGGTGGAATTTGTTCATGTGTCTCACAGTTGTGAAGGGTTTAGGAATCCACCAGAGGCTGAATTTATAGCCAGGATTTTAAGGCTCAGGTGTAATTCACTGGCTTAATGCCTGTGGCCATGTCTCCCTCTAGTGCACAGCCCTGGCTACTACAACACCCACTGCTCACTCACAGCTGGGGGAGTTACCGCTTTAGCTCAGGGTAGCATGGCATCATGCATTGGGGTTGGGATTGAGGCTAACGGATGAGAGCTGGTCAGGAAATGATTTGTTTGTCCCCATGAAATTTTTTAATGAAAACATGGTTGGGAAAAATGTTTCCTTGAAAATTTTCATCTAAACTTTTGTGGAAAATGTTCAGGGTTTTTGTCAACAAACCTAAAGCTGAGAAAATTTGGGGTTCCCAAAACCCAAACAGTTTCCAGGTATTTTGCAATGAACCCCACCAACTTTTCCATGCAATGGAAATTTCTAGGGGAAAAAAAAAGTTTTGTCAACCACAACAACAACAAAAGACCAGGGGGACAGGACGACGACATTTTCCACCTAAAAGCCTTTGGATGGCCAGCATTTGATCAGCTTTGGAAGAGAGTCATGTGCCCAAATTCCTTCAGATCCTGTAATAATCACCTTTGGGGGCTGAGACCCCATGGGTTGGATATACAAGAATAAACAACACATCACAATGGAATTGGCTCCTTGCTTTTCAAGCCTTTTTGGAAGTGTCACACTATTGCTCCTATTTGATTGAAACCTCCCTGGTTTTATATATGTAATATGAAAATTAACATTTTCCTCCATTCTTTTCCCAAAACTTTTGTGTTTATTTTTTTTAGAAAACCAACACTTAAAAATAGTACTTAGGGAAGATTATAAATAACAACCTACACTTTTTGTTTTATTTGTTAAAACACAAAACAAAAAATAAAAACCAAGGAAAGGTTTTTTTTCACCAGGCAAAAAACGTTGTTAACTACAGGATTCTAACAACAGTATCACAAAGTAAGGGATAGCCATTAATAACCTTAACTCTGCCCTTCAGGAAGTGTTTTGTTAAAGACTGGGCTACTGTTGTTAGGACTCTACCACTTGGATTTGGATGTTAGGAGTTAGACTTCCCAGCTGGGATTTTTCAAAGGAGTTGAAGAGAATTTGGTTTCTAAATTCAATGGGATTAAATTAATTAGAGTGAATTGACATTTTGTAAGCAAAACATATTCCTGGCAAAAAATGAAGTTTAGTGAAAAATGGAGTTTTTCCTCATGAAAATGTTATTTTCAACAAAAAATTTTAACTGGTGATTACAAAATGCACATTTCTGTTTAATTTCAAATTGGATTTTTTTGCTTTGCTCTCCTCTCATCAAACACACTTGTTGTCTCACTTCTACTTTCACCCATCATTTGCAGTGAGGAAAAAAAAGAGGGGAGAAAATAACCCAAAATCCCAAAATTGAAAACTTTTTTTTTAAATCCAGACCGAAATTGTGATTTGAAAATAAAATGTTTCTCTTTCTTTCTTTCTCAAAAATATGTTAACCAGTTCTAGATCAGATTTCCTGGGGGGCTTTCAAGATCTTTTGTATGCTGGAAATCTGCCCCGATTCAAGACATCAGCTGCACCAATAGAAGTAATGATTTCCATAGTCTTCCCTAGGGGTTTACATTGGGACAGGTACATGACGAGCAGCTGGAATCAGCAGAGATCCCAATTTAGACAATGTTTGGGTTAAACTCTTCTTTCCTGAATCTTCCGTATTTATTAGGCGCCACTTTAGAGACACCTATGAACCTCTTCTCAGATGCATCCAGCACCTGGCTGCTTCTTGTGAAGTGTTGCTAGAAGCCGTAATTGCTATGATCCTTTCACCTCTGTGGCCTAAAAGGTGACCCAGTTTGGGACATCTTTAAAAGGGCCTGATTCTGAATAAAGTGTTGAGCACTTTTCCTCCCAAAATCAGGCCCCCTTTAAGGTTTTGAGCTGGGGCGCACACAGCCTTAAAATCTCTAGTCACTTCTGAAAATCTTGGCAGAAGGGATTAAGTCCAAACTCCCAAATATCATAGAATACCAGGGTTGGAAGGGACCTCAGGAGGTCATCTAGTCCAACCCCCTGCTCAAAGCAAGACTAATCCCCAGACAGATTTTTGCCCCACATCCCTAAATGGCCCCCTCAAGAATTGAATTCACAACCCTGGGTTTAGTAGGCCAGTGCTCAAACCACTGAGCTATCCCTCCTCCCTATCTGGGGTATTTGTTCATTTTTAGCTACAGGATTCTAACACCACCATCAGAAATGGAGGGATGTGCACTCATGACCTTAACTCTGCCCTGGAGGATGAATTTTGCTTTTAACTCAAGGACTCTACAATGATGCAGCAAATTAAGGGATATTTGTGATTAACCTTACCTGTGCCCGTCATGGGTTATATTTATCTGTGGGTTTAGCAACAACTGCTAGCATCTGATGTAGGGTTGCCAATCTTCCTGGATTGTCCTGGAGTCTCCAGGAATTGAAGATTCATCTTTAATTAAAGATTATGTCATGTGATGATACCTCCAGGAATATGTTCAACCAAAATTGGCAACCTTAATCTCATGAGGAGGTGAGACTTGGACATTACCACGCTGCATTTGGAGACCTTAATGTGTTCTACTTGCCAAACCCTCTTCCAAACTTTTTTTCCTTTGTAACATCTTTTTCAGTCCCTCCTTCATTTGCACCTTGCCTTAAATCCTCTCTGGTTCAGTTACTCATGTTTCTTTTTTCTCTCTTTATTCCATTGATTAGATTGGCCATTTCAATAAGCAGTTCCCTGCATTTTAGTCCTGGTTCTGGGTCGAGTTTTTATTTGTTTCTTTCTTTCTTTGGTGTTTTTTGTTATTGTTTAACAATTTTAACTCAGACGTCTTTTCTCCAAACTGCTGCTCGGTCATTTGATTTCCCAAAAGAACAAAAAAGGTGTGAACAGTCTGATTCACAATCCCTTCAATGCTCAACTCAGCAGGTTTCATTCCCAGGCCAGTGTCTTGCCGCTAGACCACGCTGTCAAAGCTACTGAGAGAATGTGGCGGTGGTGAGGGGGGCAGAGTCAGAACTCTTGGGTTCTATTCCCAGTCTAGGGATGGGAGTAAGCGGTACAGGAATGTCTGTGCAGTTGTGATCCATACAGTGAGCTGTCAGATGCAGTGAATTCTCAGGCATCTCCAGCTCAGGTTCCCAACACATCATAACTGGTCTCCTGGGTCTGACGTGTGGGCAGCTTGTCCCCTCCCCCTAGCAGCATCCTGGCATTCATCCAGACTGGATTCAGCTGCTCCCTTCCAACCTCAGAACAAACAGATCCTTCCCCCATTGGAATGGGGCTCAGACCCAGATCTCCCCCACAGCTGTTCAGAGTGAATGTGCCAGAGCTATGTGCCAGCCAGACCCCATCCGCACCCCAGAGCTAGCTCCCCACCCCATCTATAACACTGCCTTCCTGCTATGCTGACACTGTTTCCCTGAAAGAGCAACCCCCCACAAATGCTGCCTGTCACAGCTCCCATTTCAGGAGCAGACCCCATCTCCATTGATCCAATTATTCCCAGCTCTGGGAAGGAAATGGGGTTTAGTGAGTTAGAGGGGGGATCGGAAAGGGGGAGTCAGGACTCCTGGTTTCTATCCCCAGCTCTGCGAAGGAAGTGGGGTCTAGTGGGTTAGAGTTGGAGGGAGATAGTGTAGTCACTCACACCTCCCCAGAGTACTGGATATTCCAGTACTTCCAGGAATGGTGTGCGCCCTCCCTGCCAGCATGACTTGGGGGGAAATTCCTTCCTGACCACCAATTTGGTGAGCAGTTATACCTCGATCTTCAATTAGGTTCTGTTCTCTCTGAGCTTTGTGACTCTTTCGTTACAGAAGAGCCAAGTGCAGGGGCTCAGGAGCGGCCAGCCCCCCTCTGGCCCAGGGGGCTCTGGGATTGAGGGCTTTGGTTTGGAGCGCAGGGTCCTTCCAGATTTCAGAGCTAACCCTCGAGAAAGCCAAGGTCTGCGGAGTCTGCAGGCAGTGCTGCCAGCCACAGAGACTCCAGGGGGGAGTGCAGTTTAGGAGGGCGTGACACAAAGTGCAACTAGGATGAGCATGGCTCAGCAGGCAGCTCCGGGGCTCAGTGTGTCGGCCGACCCCAGGTTTAACCTGGTAACAACAAAAACACGACAACGGGCTGTGGGCTTTTGTTTTTAATATAAACAAACCTGCTGCGTAGTCCAGCCTCAAGTGGCATTGGCTCGGGGTGGGAGGTAGCATAGACCCCTGGGCGAACTGCAACACTGAGGGCAGGTCCACCCTGCCTGATGCTGGTCTATACAGCAAAGAAGGGCCGCTCCCCTGGGGCACCTCTGAGTTTGTCGCCATGGCGCAGCCTTGTTAGAAGCAGACTGGAGCCAGGGGCCAAATTTGGCCCTATCTTCCTTGGGGTGATGAAAGGAGAGAGCTCTGCCCCCGCAGGCCTGGCCTAAATTGGTGGTAATGGTGGGAGGAGCGTTTAGGAGACGGCGCTTCCTACTGGACGGAGAGTTCAGCACCAAGGCGGGGAAGAGAGGACTGGTGCGGCAAGATGCAGGAACCACCTTCCCTGGTGAGCTCTGATCTGAGACATCCGATCCTGCTCCATGGGGTGCTGCTTGGATCAGGGCTGCAGAGAATCCAGCCACTTGCTCCTGCCTTGTGCCCTGACCATCTCAGCTTACACCTGCCATGGCCCCAGCCCCAACCAACCCCCCGCCCCCGGCCTTCAGCTCCACCTAGGCCTACGCCCCCAGTGACCCTAGCTTTGTCCTGCCTGTCCCAGCAAGGGAGTATCTCCACACTCAGTAACCACCAGCCCCTGGTGGTGAGTCCTCTGGTGCCTGGCCAGGTTGGAGCTGACCCGGAAGGTGCGGCCGCAGTCCTGGCACTGGTAGGGCCGCTCCCCGGTGTGGATTCTCTGGTGCCGGATGAAGTTGGAGCTGCCAGCGAAGGCGCGGCCACACTCCAGGCAGTGGTAGGGGCGCTCCCCAGTGTGGGTGCGGCAGTGCTCAGCGAAGGCAGTGCTCTGCCCAAATCTCTTGCCACAATCGGGGCAGTGGTGGGGCTTCTCACCGGCGTGGCTCCGGCGGTGCCGGGCCAGGGAGGAGACACTGGCGAAGACTGCCCCACACTCAGCACACTTGTAGGGTCGCTCCCCTGTGTGGCTCCGCATGTGCTTGACTAATGCAGCCCGGAGCCGGAAGCGCCGGCCACACTCGGGGCAGCCGTGAGGTCGCTCGCCACGGTGGATTAGCTGGTGCCGGCTGAGGTGGGTGGCGCGGGTGAAGCCCTGGCTGCACTGGTGGCAGCGGTAGGGGCGCTCCCCAGTGTGGGTGCGCTGGTGCTCCACCAGTAGGGAGCTGCGGTCAAAGCTGCGCCCACACTGGGCACATGAGAACGGCCGCTCCCCCGAGTGGCTGCGCCGATGAATGGTCAGGAGTGAGTGGCTAGCAAAGCCTTTCCCACATTGGTGGCAGTAGTGGGATCTCTCCCCTACGGCATGTGTTCTTCGGTGCCTGGCCAGCCCCGCGCTCCCTGTGAAGCTCTCCCCACACTCGGGGCAGCACCAGGGCCCCTCGCCCGCTGCATGGAGGCTCTGGTGCCGGCAGAGGTTGGAGCTCTGAGTGAAGCATTTCCCACACTGGGTGCAGCAGAAGGGACGCTCCCCCGTGTGGACCCGCTGGTGCTTCGTGAGGTTCGACCTGCGGCTGAAGCCCTTCCCGCACATGGGGCAGGCGATGGGGTTTGGGGTGCCACCCACTGACCTGTCGCTCATGCCACTCTTCACGCAAATGGAACCCAGAGGTCCGGGATCCTGCTGCCCTTCCACCCAGCCATCGCCCCCCTTGGGTCTACAGGACACATTCCCTTTGCATCTGGCTGCTTCCCTTTCATGCTGCAAAGTCTCTTCCTTGCTTCTACGCGGGATCTCGGCACCTGGAAGATGAGCCAGATGGGAGTCATTGCTGCACTGATGCCCAGAGGAGGTGCCAGGGGGCGGATCAGGAGTGGCCTGTAATAATCTATGGCTGCTCTAGATGTTTGTCTGTCTAATGTACGGAGGGTTACTGCAGCATCTATTGGGTCAGTTCCATATCCTGGCAGTCAGGAACCGTGGCTAGACAATAGCTCAGGTCAGAGCTCTTGAGATGCACACCCAGGACTAGCTACCTCTGCCCTCCCACCACTGGTGGGCCAGACCCACCTTCCTAGGGCTGAGATCCAGATCCTCAAAGGTACTTCAAACTCATAACTTCCACTGAAATCAATGGGAACCTTTGAGGATCTGTGTCTGAATCACTCCCGCCCCCATGAAGGGGGGAGGGGACAGTCAGAGACGGAGAGGGAGCGGGTGGTTAAAGAGACGCACACTTCCTGAAAGACTGGTTTTGCATGTTGGTTAAGGGGGAGAAACTGCCTCCCTGGATCTCTAGAGCTGGGGGTGTCTCAAGGAAGCTAAGCCTGCCTAGCATGGAAGATGAGGGAGTTAGCTACCCTCTCCTCTTTATTCACCTGCTGGAGTGCCAGGAGTGAAATCAAAGGGTGGTCCCTCACAGATGGTCTCCGAGTACCCTCACCTTCTTGGGCGCCTCTTGGCATCTCCTGTTCCTTGGAGCACTGGGGGTCTGGGACTTGCAGCTCTTCCCATCGCTCCATGTGGGACACGAGGTCGGGTTTGGGAACGGGGACGCCTGCCCCTGGAACAGCAGAGAGGAGGCATCGGAGATTATCACAGCACTGAGAACTTCTTACTGTCACTAGCAACAGTAGCATCTAGAAATCCCAGCAGAGATCAGGGCCCCATTGTGCCAGGGACCCGCACGAGCACCCAACGACCAAGTTTGGGGCTCTGTTGCCCGGGGTGCTGTACGGGCACGCAGAGGAAGACACTCCCTGCCCTGAACAGCTTACTACTGTCTACTCTAAATAGACAAAGTGCAGGAGTATGAACGGAGGCCCAAAGAGGAAAGGTGATTTGTCCAAGGTCTATAGCAGAACCGTGAATCGAACCCAGGAGTTGGGAGTCCTTGCCCAGTACTCAGCCAATGCCTGTGACACAAGTTCTGTCCAATAAAAGTAGGGCTGTCAATTAATTGCAGCCAACGCAAGCAATTAACGGAAAACAAATTAACTAGATTAAAAAATAGTCACGATTAATCACAGTTTTAATCGCACTGTTAAACAATTATAGAATACCAATTTAAATGTATGATAAATATTTCTGGATTTTTTCTATATTTTCAAATATATTGATTTCAATTACAACACAGAATACAAAGTGTACAGTGCTCACTTTATATTAGTATTTTTGATTACAAATATTTGCACTGTAAAAAAGATAAACAGAAGAAATGGTATTTTTCAGTTCACCTCATACAAGTACTATAGCACAATCTCTTTATTGTGAAAGTGCAACTTACAAATGTAGAATTATTATTATTACTTTAGAACCTACAAGTCGAAGCATGAAGAGGCATACTAATGTTTAGCATATCTGACACATAAATACCTTGCAGCGCCAGCTACAACAGTACCAGGCGAACGCCTGTTCTCACTTTCAGGTGACATTGTAATTAAGAAGCAGGCAGCATTATGTCCCGTCAATGTAAACAAACTTGTTTGTCTGAGCGATTGGCTGAACAAGAATCAGCCTGACTGAGTGGACTTGTAGGCTCTGAAGTTTTACATTGTTTTGTTTTTGAGTGTAGTTTATGTAAAAAAATAATTCTACATTTGTAAATTGCACTTTCACAATAAAAAGGTTGCACCACAGTACTTGTATGAGGTGAACTGAAAAATAATATAAAGTGAGCACTATGAGCACTCTACACTTTGTATTCTGCGTTGTAATTGAAATCAGTATGTTTGAAAATGTAGAAAAACATCCAAAAATATTTATAATAAATTTAAATTGATATTTTATTATTGTTTAACACTGCGATTAAAACTGTGATTAATCGTGACTATTTTTTAAATCTCGTGATTAATTGTAATTATTTTATTAATAATTTGACAACCCCAGATAAAAGATCTTACCTCACCCACTTTGTCTCTCTGATATCCTAGGACCAGCACAGCTACACTGCATATCACAAGAGACATAATGTCCTCCTAAATTGACATTACTTGGGCACAGGATGCCCAGGGCATTGCTAATGGGTAGGGCATCTGATTTTAGGTTTTAGCTGATAAACACCCACAACACACCCCAATACAAAGAAAAGAAATCAAACATTGGAACGGTTATAAGGGCTTGTCTAGATGGAGCAGTAATGTGCACTACAGGAGTATGATTTTTCAAATGAACGAATGTGTTGAGCACTAATTGGGCCACAGGGATCCTGCTGGTGCGCATTAGAAGCTCCCTAGTGTGCTCTAACATAGTGCTGTTTGAAACAGTGCTAAGTAAAAGCGCACAAGGGTCCATAGCAAATAGATTACTCATTACACTATATACAAAGAGAAATCCAAAAACCGGGGGGTTTCAGGGCTATCTACACAGAACTCAACAATTGTTAAAAATAACACTGGAAAAACTGAAGTTAGTGATCCCAAAAGCAGAAGCCCCACTAACAGGTCACCGAGGGCCCTCAGTGCCAGCCCAGCTGCTGTTCCCACCATGTGGGCATCTAGAGGAGTTGGGTGAGTCCCAGCTCCAGCTCCCACACCACAAACTAACTCACCCGTGGTAGACTGTGTGGCCAGGGAACAGGTGGCTCCCCGGAGAGGGAGTCATTGCTCCACCAGACACCAGCCCCCCTCCTTCATGCCTTCTCCACAGCTGGGCTGCCCCTACGCTTCCTCCCCACAGCCCAAGTCAGCCCACACCCGGGATCATCGCTGGCACAGCCACTCCCCCCGGGCAAGGCAGGGCCTCGCCTGCAGCACAAACCCCGGGGCTACCGGGGGGGGGGTCTCCGATCCCAGCCGCGGTTCGGCTCCGATCCCACCCAGCCCTGCGGCCGCTTCCTCCAGGCAGCGATTTCCTGCCTCTGCTGCTGTTTCCCTCCCTCCCGTGGCCGCCTCTCCCCGCGCCCCTACTCACCGCCGGGCCGGGGCGATCCCCCGGGGCTGCCGACTGGGGCTCGCCCTGCGCGCACACACTGGCGGGGAGGGCAGCGGGGCTCGGGACCCAGGTGTCCGGGGCTGGCACAGGAAGGTCCCTCCGCTATCCCGTCCCCCTCCCTGCTTCAGGCTCCACTCCAGGAGCTTGGTGTCTTTAACCCATTCGTGCCCCGGCTCGCCGGGGAACGGAGATGTAAAGTAGGAGGGAGACTCTGGTGGGAGGATTTGAACCAGGGGCAGGGGGCGCAGGGGCGCCAGGGTGGTACAAAATCAGAGGCAGCCCATGGGTTATGGCTGCCACAGCTGGGAATAAAACCCAGCCCCCCCCCTGCTCTAACCAACTGGACTCCACTCCCCCCGCCGCAAAGAGAACCCAGGAGTCCTGAGATCCATTCCCCTCCCCACCCACTAGACCTCATTTCCTCCCAGAGCCAGGAATAGCCTGGTCAGCTGAGACAGGGTCTGCCCTGACATGGGGGGGGTCTGATGGGAAGTCTGGTGTGTGTGTGTGTGGGTGTGGGGGGGATATTGCTTGATCTCCCAGGAGACACACTGTCAGCACAGCAGGAAGGCACAGGGTTATAGACAGACAGGGAGCGGGCCCTGGGGGAAGGGGAATGGGTCTGGCTGGCAAATAGCAAATAGCTCTGGCACATTTACTCTGAAAGGCAGAGGGTGGATGTGGGGGAGATATGGGTCTGAGCCCCAGTCCAATGGAGGAAGGGTCTGTTTGTGCCTAGGTTGGATAGGAGTGGCTGAGTCTAGTTTGGAGGGAGGGGGCAGCCCCAGGATGCCGCTGGGGAGGGGATAGGCTGCCCCATCTGTCCAGCTTTGGGTGACCCCTTAAGCTCACACCCCACATGGCTGAGTGCACAGGGATTGGGATCCAGATTCGGATCCCGCTGTTAACACTGGATAAGCCAGGGAAGGGCCACAAGAACAGGGCAGGGGTAGCTCACCCGTCCGGCTGCCCCTCTGTTCCCCTCCCTCCTACACCCAGGAAAGGGAGCAGACAGAGCCAGGGATGTGGCTTCCACCATCATCTTTATTAGTGAGCAGAGTGTTCACACAGGGCAGGGACAAGCCCCATCTGGAGTCAGCTGCACAGGTCCCCAGAGACAGCACCACCACCAGGGCTAGCACAGCTCGGGGCGGGGGGGGGTTTGTCATGCTGTGGTGGAGGGGGAGAGGTCAGGGGGGGGGCCGTGGGGGGCGGGGGGGGGGGGGGTGAGGCGGGCGGGGGGGGGGGGGGGGCTCAGTGGCAGGAGCTGTGGGGGCCATGCTGAGCTGGGAACTCTGTATAGGCTGGGATGGGGGAGCGCTTCATGGGAAGAGCTGTGCAGGCCGTACCGGGCGGGGGGGGGGGGGGGTGGCTCCATGGAGGCCACACCAGGGTTGAGGGGGAGAGGGGTCTCAGTCATCAGAACCATCGGGGCTGCCATGACCGGGGGACTCGAGAGGGCGGCTCAGGAACACCTCCTCATAGGAGCAGGGGGAAGTGAAGGCCTGGGCAGGGGTCAGCCCCAGTGCACGCCCCCCAGCTCCGCCCCCTCCACGGTCCCGCTCCTCCTCCTCTTGGGCGCGGCGGCGGAAGGACTGGAAGTCGGTGGCGGCGCAGTTGTCGGGCAGCCCCTGGGGCACCTGCCCATCCCCGGGACGACACACCTCGAAGCGCACCCAGCGGTAGGCCCCGCACTTGCGGGCCCCGGGGCAGCTCTGGATCAGGTTGTGCACGGCCGGGTGCGAGAAGCCGAAGAAATCAGCCCCGGCTGCCTCCAGCTCAGGGTAGGGCCGCCCCCGGGCAGCACTGATGGCCGCCAGGAGCTGGGCGTGGCAGGTGTCAGCCGTGGTGCCCGCCAGGGCACTGCCCGGCTCATCCTCAGGCACGATCTCAAAGCGGGGACCCACTCCGCCATCTTTGATCTGGCAGGTGTAGAGGCAGCGCTGGTCAGGGCGCCGCATGCTGGCGTAGACCCGTGTGCTGCAGAAACCCACTGGGTAGATGGCTCCCTCATCGTGGAAGCCTGCCCGGTCGGCCACGATCTCACCCAGGCTGTAGACCGTCAGCCCACCCAGCGCGATGGGGAAAACAGGCCGACCCGAGGGGTCCAGCGGCACTGGCTGCACTAGCCGCCGCACCCCCCTGTCTGGTGCTGCCCGCCGCTTGGCCGCACGCCCGTTCTCCTTGCCCTTCTTGGGCCGCTTCCCCGCAGGCGCTGGCTCATCTGGGCCAGGTGTCGGTGCCACGCCGTACCCTGCTGAGATGCCCCCCAATGGCACCGCCGGGCTCTCCTCCTCGGCTGACAGTGCCTGCAGCTGCAGCAGCTTGGTGAAGAGGAATCGACGCTCCTCTCTCGCCCGCAGGAATTTCTCCTCCAGCCGGGCAATCTCATCGCACAGTGCTGCATTCTCGAACACCATGGCCTTGGCTGCCCGGCGCAGCCGGCTGTACTTCAGCCGGTACTTCTCATTCTGGCTCTTCCTTGACACCTTCTTCATCCTCGGCTCACCACGATAGCCACCTTCAGACCTGCTGGAGCAGAGAGCCCGGGCACCATCACCTCTATGGGCACACACAGGCACACACATTCATAGATTCACTCTCACATGGACACTCACACAAAGATCGCTGTTTCCCATCCATTCCCAGAGCTCCCTCCATTGGCTCTGTCCCTGCAAAGGCCGCTGGACTCTGCAGAACAGCGCATTTCATAAACGTTAAGGCCAGAAGAAAGGCCCATTTTGCCCCTCCATC